CAAAGATGTCTACAAAATTATCTCAGTTATTATTAAAAAACTGATTATTTTTGAAAACTTTGCCACCCTGTATCTCAAAAGTTAAGGCGTTTAGGACATACGTCCATAGGAAGTTTTTTTCTTAAAATGGGTCTAAGAATTACCGCCTTAAATATTAGCATGTGTTTAAGGAACACCCTGTATACGATTTTCCTATAGGTATAGTCGAAGTAAATGATATTGTGCGTACTTAAAGTTGTCGACACTCTCAAAGGCCAAAAAAACCCAATACATAAGTAGTCCACGTGAACCGTAGAATCGGAGGTTCGTTTTGAATAATTTTTACTAACAGAGTTTTATGATTGGCTGAAGAGTCATTAAATTAAATTTGAAGTCGTGTTACGGTGACGAATAGAAATCGGGAATGCGGGGATGGTTATCGCCGTCGTGTCATCAATGTTCAGTTCAGGAACTGATCGCGATTTGAGTATTGAAATTCGATATTGGTGCGGTTATAATTACCTAAATTTTTTGTTTTCTGTTTAAAATGTGACGTCCTTGGACAAGTACTAATAGTAATAGCGAGTGTGATAACAACGTAGACTTTTTCCAGTGTAGTGATTCCAATAGCGATGATGTTACGAAAGGGTGGACTGATGGTTCGAGAATGTGTACGCCTAACATGCCTACAAACAAAATTTGAAAAGAAGGTAATAGAGCTAATTGAAGAAGAAAAATCGAATATTACCGAAGAAGACTGGCAGAAAAGGAATAACAAATAATTTTAGTTGAAAAAGACTATATGGAGACTGTACACTTCCATATAAATGTTGGAAATAAATTCATTATTGATTTAAATGACGACAGTGATAGAGAAAGTATTATACAACTGTATGTTGTCTTAAAGAAATGAAGTGATTTGATTCAAACGAATGAAAAATTTCAAATTCAAAGATAGAAAGCGCTAAATGAAAGACCCTATATTATTATTTACATTTTCACGAGCTATGGTAACTCATTATTATTATTAATGAAGTCATTAATTGTTTGAAATATTTAAGCAAACATCACCTATGTGCAGGTTGGAAAAGTATTAGACATACTTCAAGAAGCGATTATATAATGGATGAACGGTTGCGGTTTTTTAAACTATTATATCAAGTGAAAATAATAATAGTATTCTGGAAATATCTCAGGAAAACATTCCACGAAGCTATTTATTTTGAGTTCAAGTAAGCAATAATAATATCCCGGAAATGTTTCAGAAAACCATGTCAGCCTTTCTTGTACATCATTCAACTCACCCTGTATATGGTACAAAACAAAAATTCAACATAAAGCCATGTATCCCCAAGTTCGATATATTTTTCTGTCAGGTGGAGAAAAAACAGCACTTCCCAATTTTTTCCGGGATCACGAATGTAAACACAAATAGACGGAGAGCACAATAATCGAAAACCAAAACTGTCGTCCGTGTCAAGTTACCGAAGCCGGCGAAAATAAAAATAGAAACGAAGCGCAAAAACGAGAGCCTTTATACAAATTCTCCATTTTAGGATTATTGGAATGAACGAGTGGGGTGCCAGGGCAGCTCAAACCGGCAGTTGCAGAACTGGAATCTTCGGTGTGTTATTATCTGGGTAGAAGCGAAGAAGTTTTTTCTTTCAAGAGCGAGATACGCGGTTCGTCGGAATTGGAATTATCAGAAGAGAATTCAGTGTTGGTTTCATAGTTTGGCTGACTGATATCACAGTGGATGAAGTCTTGTTTTGTAATCGCGTGATTAATTGCATCGCGACTGTTTTTTGTTGATGATTACATTGTTTCTTTTGAGAAAAATGTGAAGTTTTGTTTCATGGTTCGTATGTTTTTATATGAAGACGAATCATTCATAATTGGACTGACGTACCGGGTCTGATGAATCTACTAGTGAATACCGTATAAAACCTCCCACATAAAAATAATGATTACACAAAAAATTATAGCACGCCGCCTATGCCATACAAAGAAACTGCCGACGTTCGGTAACTATTTAGTTTTTATACCATTCGAATGGATTTCGTTTATGCCATAAATGTTATTTATAAATCAAATCAATTTTATTTCTCTGCGACAATATAAAATTGTATAAGAACAGTCAGGTAGGTAGGTAGGAGAAAACAGTGTCTATGGAAAAACCGTTTTGACTTTCCACTTTTCATTTCTTTGGAAATTCCACCCCATGATAGTAATGAAGAAAATCAAAGTAAGCCTCATTTGTAAGCTTCATTATGGATTTTCATAAAGTATTTTCATCAAAAACCTGCAGACCACGGTCAAAAAAAACCCGAAAATAGCTTTCACACAAAAAATTAACATTCTTTAATTAACGGAATCACCCACAAGAATTCTTGGGGTATCTGTTCTTCTGAGTCGGTTTTTCAGAATTACTCTTGCTTTCTTGAAAGTAGTTATTGAATCAACACCCATTGTTCGTTCAATTTAAAGAATATTGTCATATTAATTAATTGCAAGTCCCTGTTCATGTCAAGATAAACGACTATAACATATTTCATGTTTTCTAAACTGGTTTTAATACTGCATAGTGCTAATGAGGACTCGTAATCGATGTGAAAAATACACAAAAAATGTATACTGTCTGCAAAACAAACAAGTCGTTATTCAAAAAACCAACAGTCATGGGGATTTCCCAAACATTAAAAAGTTAGTATTTATCTTATATCCAATGAATAAAAAAATTCAATTATAATTTTGCAACACATTGTAATTATGAGTTATTTGGAAAATATTTGACACACCAAAAACTAAATATCAAACACGTTTCTGAATTATACAAAAAAAATTCTGAGAATTAGGCGTGATATCTAGAATATAGGTAATCCAGTAAATTATTCTCAAAAATAAACAAATTTGTTTGATAACAGAGGTGAATGGCAAAGTTCAAGTTTATGTAGTTTCACATAAATTGTGATTCCCAGTCATGTATTACAGAAACAAGAAAAATATGTCCTGTTTTCAAATTCAAAGACTCAGCTGATATATCAAAGTATAGGCCAATTTTTATGTTAGGTAACTTTGGAAATTTGTTTGAGGTTATTTTGTACGATTGTACCTGCTAACTCCTGACACGAATATAAAGAAATCCATCGAAAACAGTTCTAGGTGAATAATTAGACGGAACACAAACAAACTATCTCCTAACTGCTATATAACTATGTATTTTCCCTAACAACTGAACAAGAACATGTATGACATGTGAACCCAGGTCGATGTTATAAATTTTGACTTGCAAAAAGCCTTCTTTATGGTTTTTCCTCTGGCTTATTACTGCTTTTACAATCATATTCATTTGTCTAGTACCAATACGTCGAAATTGTGGCTTACCGTTCTAGTCTAGCCACCTCAGGCGTTCCACAAGCTTCAAACCTCCAGCCGCTATTATTCTTATTGTTCATTGATGACATCTATGCCGATGATCTTGAAATATATAGAATAATTGAAAATACTTCAGACTGTTAGAATTTACAGTCTGATATTGATAAGATCAATGCGTGGTGTTCCAGAAATGAGCTCAACTTGAATACTTCGGAATGATCCGTGATAGAAAGCACATCACCAAATTCAACTACAAATTAGGGAGACGTCAGGAAGTCAAGGGTATGGGCATTGTTTTCGATAAAGGATTAACTTTTTCCTCACACATGAACCAAGATGTTTCCTCTGCAAAAAGGGTGTATGGCCTTTTGCTGAGTCAAAGTAGATATTTTCAACACATTGCTACAATGATCTCCATTTCTTACTGCTTTATCAAAGGTAAGTTGGAATACATGGTACCCGCTCTATCATACCCATGCCACAGAGGATTTTTGAAATTCCTATCATTCAAAAAATCTGGAGCATATCCTGGAAAGGGTATAGAATACTCTCTTCTACTCAACAATTTCAGATAAAAGCGCTTTTCAGATGGCTTCAATTTCATGCAGCAGCTGGACTCAGCAATTTCCGTCTACTACATTTATCGATAAAGCAGATTTCACCAGCTGAAAGCAAGTAGCTTTGATCCTTGAAGTAGCCCATATTTTTACTGAAGTCTAATTTTTTAAGTTCACCTTCTTGATATAGTTTGGTAGATATGAACCAAACCATGATGTAACATTACCCCTACATCCATAAATATGAAATTGCTCAGCAATATTTCGTGAGAAAATGTGGATGATAAAAATATTTCGAAGTTTTGGCATACACACTTGTACACCTATCATTTTTATCGATTATGCTCAAGTGCTTGCAGTGAGTAGATCTGTTGATAAGTTGCATCATCTATTCCAAAGTGAATTGTGACAGGGACTTTGGATATTCGTACTTTGAATTAGGATAATCTTAAAAATTGGAATCGCTTCAATATCTGTAGATAAAAAACTCACCTGGAACGCTCACTTGGAAAAAGTTTTACACAAAGTCAGACTGTCCCTATGGACATGTCGAAGGATTTGTGGTAGAACTTGGGGTTTATCCCAAACAAATCCATTGAATTTATGTGATGATTGTCAGACCAATAAAATGATCGGCCTAAGGCTTTACAGAAAACGGCGCAGGCAAAGCTGTCTAGCTTTCAGAGACAGGCTTGTCTGGCCATAAGTGGTGTCTTCAGTACCACATCATAGCTGCCATGGAGATCCTTCTAGATCTACCTCCTCTCCATATTTTTCTGAAGAGAGAGGCTAGATGGACTGCATATAGTCTTGTGCACATTGCCAATTGCACAAAACAATGCAATGCAGAGTACTATCGACTGCTGGCTGACACTGGAAATGACAGCATTCTGAAAATGACCTCTGATGTTATGCCTCCAACTGTCAACTACGGACTGCCTTATAAAGTACTGTTTCCGAGAAGAGAGGACTGGATCCTCCGGGAGAAGGAAATATCAAGAGCAGATAGTTGTTGGTTCACAGATGGATCAAAAACAACTTGCTGCGAACGGCGGCGAATCGACATTTCACGGTCATCACGAACACTGACGGATATAGCCGCAATATGTTCTTCGGTCCTCACTCTACGTATGCGTGATGGTGGGTTGATGTTAAAAAATGTAAACTGGTTCGAAATTTAGTCACAAGCTTCCGAATAGCTCCCTCAGTAGGCCGAGGAAACTGCCCATAAATTGGAAGAAGTGCACGATGTACTTTATTCACCGAGCATGAATTTTGATAATAAAATTCAATAATTTGCAAGCGTCGTTCATTCGTAAGTCGATTCATGGTTAAATTAAAGACCAAACTGAACAAGTTTGACAATGACACAAGACACGATTCACGAGATTCATGTCAAAAACAGTGTTGCCAAAAAGATACCAGCAAACAAATCTCTCATTATTGACAGATTCAAGCAATGTACAGGTTTTTTGTCTACAGTCGTAAAATTGGTTGTGACAACTCTTTAAATTTCCAACAAACTTTTCAATTTTTTTCAAGGACGAAACACAAGCACTACAGAAAAATCCCTAAAGCGCTCTGAGAGCTGTACCTGTGCAGAAGTAGTGATTCAGGTTGAATTTGAATCGCTGGAGATTAAATTCAATTGAAAACGTTCACAGGAAGTTCATTCCACATAAACGCAGTTTCCCAAATGAAAGAGTTTTTAAACTGTGAAATTCGAGGTGTACTGAGTTGAACCTCAAAACGATGAGCAGCCACAGTCCGTCGCGTATTTCTGATATGTACATTGAACATGACGAACTGTTCATATCCCTTTGTTGCATTGTCTGCAGTTAAGATATTCGTTGTACAACCCTACTTTGTTCAGGTTCCTCTAAATAGACAATGTTCAGTGGGTAACCCTGTAGGTATTCTGAGCGTATACCTGCTTTCTTGAAACAGTCGATTTGTATTCAATTCTTGTAGTAGTAAAAAACATTCTAAAAAAAGCATTGCTCTCCAAATCAATTGCGTAATGTAAATATGTTGGTCCAGTTATAATTTTAAATCTTGTTATTCTCCAATTTTTTTTTGGTATTCCCCACCGGTGTTATCGTTATTTCCCGCTATTAACTATCAATTCCAAACATAATCTGACTGTTGATCAACGCTCTAAACACACTGCAACGTTCCTTGGAGTTATCGCAAAATAATTCGCAATGAATGACTTCAAAATAGGGGGTTTTCTTTCTACACAGTTGAGATATCTGGTGGATAAAACTGGTCAAGTTATTTTTAGTCTCATAAGTGCTTTCGATTTGTTTATTTTTATTTTCACGTCCAATAACCTACATGATTATATTCCAGTTTGAGTTTTGCTCGAAGATATTATGGAAAATCAAAAAATAAGACCAGTTTGTTTTCATCTCTATAATCATAGCCGTATCTTTACGTCATTGAACGGGAGGTTGAAAGATCAGTTTATTTTCAAGCTACCGCGAAAAAAAGGGGTTCTTAATTCAACAATCTTGCTGATGCCACCCAAATATTGCGTAATATACATCGATATAACAACAAAATATATAAGTAAATAAATATTTCGAAATAGAGTCTCTCCCAACGTGCTAACACACTAGAATCAGGTGAAAACATGCTAGAAAATGACTACTTCCTCGGCTAATACCATTATGAACATTTTGAGATTGGAGTCAAATTTTTTTCTCGTGAATTTGTTCGTCACGAAAAATATTAGAAATAACTACCAAGTCAGTACCAAGGAAATTCATTCAGTTGTACGACGAACTCATTTCTATCTCAGTCCTGGCATAAGTATCACTTTTTTCGGTTATTT